CCAAAACCAAAAAAAACACCTCACTGTTAACCACTAGAGAATGATGGACTGACTTGTCATTTTGAAAACTGATAAACAAAGAGAACAAAACCAAGTACATTTATCCATGTCATGAGTGCTGCTGGGTAACCAAACAGTACAGCAGGGGAAGCTTCTCTTTATAGAAATATTATAGCTAATAAATAAAAAAGGAATGATAGAATGTCACTATATTGTAATTCCTACAGAATCAATGAATCTACGAGGCATTAGGTAGCATTGGTCGCTGACATCCCTGAGAGGTAAAAATCACACGCATATTATCTGCATCCTGATGGAAGAACAAATAATCAACTAGATGTAATCTGGAAAATAGGAATATGGGAATATGAATATTAAAAGTCTCTAGATCTAATTTACTGGGAATACAGAGGACTACACTCTATGTATACATTTAGAAAAATCTAGTCTGTGGGACAAACTGATATGGGAGAGCTCCCTCACTATAGAAGTCTTAAGCCCCCTCACAATAGGAATTTTAAGTCCCCTCAATATAGAAATTTTAAGTCTCCTTTTCCCTAGTTTCTTAGCTCCTTAGTCCCTGGTCTTAATCACTTTTCTAATCAGTTTCTAAATCCTAAAGATTGCTCCTAGCCTAAATCATAAAATGTTTCTCACTCCTGCTCAATAACTACTTAAAATCCTGTGAGCTATAATCATTGTAGCCCAATATTCCCCAAGCCATTCCAGACCTAATTCTTGGATAAATAAACGCCATCCCAGAGACCAAATGGGTTTTAACACTCCTCCATGCCAGTCCAGACCTAACCCCTGGGTGAACAAATGTCACCTCAAGTTAAGATAAATGGGCTTTGAGTCCCATCCCTGGAGCCAGTGCTTTTAATTTATTAACTAATGTCTTGTTTCTCCTCATTTAGGGGCTGTCGGGATACAAGTTACGTCCCAGGGAGGCTCCCAGTGCACCCCAACCAAGGAAGAAGAGATCCCCTTTTTATTATTTACGATCAGATAGGGCGAGAGTTTCACAAATCCCCAATAGGTAGGGACAGCTCTACACCCTTCTCAACTTGAAGCAGATACAGAAAAAGAGACCTCCTATCCCTCAGCTCCCCACAGAGATTTGTGGGGATCACATCTCTCAGGGAAAACAAGGCAGGCAGTTAGAGACAGGTAGTTGGGTCTCTGTATTCCTTCACATAGGACACAATCTATGGGGAGCACTGCCTGGAGACCTCCCAAATTCTTCCCTTATGTACCCTAAGCATTAGCCACTGGTAGAGGCCACCACGACCTCCATCTCGCCCTAGCCTCATTATACTATCATTGTAATATCATGCATATGCCCAGTAGTTTATTAATATCATTATAACAGACTGAACTCTGGGAAGGGACATGCACAGTCTAAGAGGGTTGGGTAATGGCCCCCCGTGCCTGGGGAGGAACAGCTCATTCCAGAGAAAAAAAGATAAAACCCCCAAACTCCCCTGAGCCAATGCCCTTTGAGCCCTTGGCCACCTTTCGAGCCTTGCTTTTGCTCGGGGCCCGCTCCAAACCTTTTGGAGTATACTTTTTCTCCCAATAATGCCACCTGGAGTCTGGAGCCTTGAGCCCTTTGAGGCCTCGCCTTTGCTCAGGGTCTGCTCCAAAGTCTTTGGAGTGTAATTTTTCTTCTAACAAAAGGACTTGAGCTGCTTTCTTTGTGCTCGGCCCGCTCCTAATTCTTTGGAGTGTACTGTCTCTTCCAATAAACTTTTTTCACCACTTTACCTCTGTGTCTCCGTCAATTCCTGCTCGAGATGCCAAGAACCTGGACGCCGCGCCAAGGAGGGCCCAACCAACCCCAGCAACGTAGCAGCTAAGTTTCCCAGTACCCCACTCCCGGCTCCACGGCCCAGGTTTGACCCCTGGTGTGGAAGCCAAGTCCAGGCATTTCGACAGAAGGGCCCCCTCTCTGGTAACAAAACTATTGGGTTGTCGGAAAAGTCATGACTTTTTTTCCTATGTTTTTCGTTGTAAACATGCATCATGACTTTTCCAACAACCCAATAGTTTCAACAAAAAATTTTAGAGACTTAAAATACATATTGACGTACAGATCCTGTTTCAAATAAACTGCTAGAAAAATTATGATACAGATTTATGAGACAATTGGAAATCTGAGCACTTACTGGCTATTTTATGATACTAAAGATTTTATATATAATAAAGATCCTTAAAAGAAAAATACCCACACTACCATTATATATTTTTAATACGTTTTCAATCCTTAAAAGAAAAATACCCACACTACCATTATATATTTTTAATACGTTTTCAAATACTATCAGAAAGCTGAGATTTCAGGTGGTAATCTATCTCTGTATTTTGCAGTGATAAATGCAACTGAGTTATGAGAAATGAAATCTCCATTTCCCAGGAATACCATTCTTAAATAAAAAAAATAAAAAAAACAAGACTCACTAGGGAACTTTGAAGAACATACTAACATTATCAGATTATCAGCAGCAACTCAGTTTCCTTATCTTAAAAATGGCAAGTGATACAGAATGACTGAGGAGATACTGACCAACAATCACCATCAAGCAATTCTCCAGCATCTTATGTCAACACACCAGGAAACAACCACAGTTGGCACTATTCCAGGGTCCCAAATTCTAGTTACTACAAATTACTGCCAAGCTGGAAGCCTCTCTGAAGAAAAGAGATCCATTTATTCGAAGAGCTGGGGATGTCCCATTAAAAATTATTATTTTGAGTTTATGTTAGCCTAACTTACCTGTTACTTCATATCTAATTTTGAATCTTTAAAAAGGGAGAAAAACAAAAGCTTCCTCTAAAAAGCTAGTTGGATACATTTTAGGGACTTAGTCATGGTTCTTAAATTCTCTAAGCACCTCAGTTTCTAGAAATTTCAGAATATCCTTTGAGTTGAGCTATATCCTACAATGGGTATCTTTTTAGCCCTTCCTCTTTGCTTCTATTAAAAATACACATGGCTGGCTGAGTCACTCAGTTGGCTAAGAATGCGGGCTCTGAACAACAGGGTCGCTGGTTCAATTCCCATATGGGCCAGTGAGCTGTGCTCGAGCTGAGCTGCCAACAGGAGGCAGGATGGCTCAGCTGGTGAGAGCACGTGCTCCTAACAACAAGGTTGCCAGATGACTCCTGCATGGGATGGTGGGCTATGCTCACCCACAACTGAGACTGAACACTGCACCTTGAGCTGAGCAGCTGTGAGCTGCCAACAGGCGGCCAGATGGCGACTGGACTTGGAGCTGAGCTAGCTGCGCCCTCCACAACTAAGACTGAAGGACAACAACTTGGCTATTCCCCAATACTGTTTCTCTTCCCCAATTCCCCAATAAAATCTTATAAAAATAAATAAAATAAGAATACATAACCCTTAAGAAAGTACTGAAAAACAAAAACCACCACCAAAAGTATATCGAAACAAACACACGCAATATGGACATTATCTTTTATGTGATACTCAAAAAACTGCAGCTTTGTAAGTTCTACACCCCCTTGTATTTGGGATAAGGTTCTGATATATCTTGCATGTTTATCAACTTCATTGGTTCCTCAAACTCAAAAATCTCAAACTTTGTTTAGACTTCATTAGCGTAGCAGGACAATAAATGTACTCTGAGAAAAAAAAGAAACTTAAAGATAACTAAATACCCAGGAACTCAGAAGGAAAAAATTCTTTAAGCCAGTAATTTTATCAAAATTACAATCATTTTGAACAGCTATTTCTTTAAAGAGACATCCTGACCCAAGAGAAATTCTTAACAGAGTGGAATAGAACATGTGTTTACTGTAATATGTGCAGAGGACTCTGCAGACCCCGAGGAGGCCCCTCAGCACCTGGGTTGCTGGGTTTCGTTCATCTGATCAGGGCCAAGTTTCTTGTTAAAACACAGCTCATGCATATCTGATTCAACTCCACAAGTGTATGGTGAGTACTTAGGACAACGATTCATGTATAACATGCTTTCTTTTCTCTCAGAAATCCCACAGAGTTCTCAGTAATACCAGCTTGCGACTATATATTCAATACAAAGTATAAAATTGTTTTATTCCCATTTTATACACAGGGAAGTAAAAGCAAGGACAGGTGAAATTATTTCAGTAAAGTCATAGAGTGAGCAACTCGCCAGAACTTAAAAAACAAAGCAAAATATAAAACTGTTCTAGTTTAGGCTTCACATACCATGTATATTTACCCTGCATTTGTCCTCATCATTCTATCCCGCTCAATTTTTATTCATTCGCCCACCCCACAGGTTCCTGTCATCGATCACCACCCTTTCCATTAGTCACTCCTTGAATACTTACCTGTACGGAGCCATGTGTCAGGCACGGTGCTGAATACAAAAGTGATGGACACACAGAGGACTTACTTTTATCTTACCATGAGCCAGGCAGTTTAAAATGACTTACATAAAGTACAAATGATTTCCAGGCCTCTTCCAATAAAGGCATGCTTTCCAAAATTATATTTAATAGGTTTTAAAATATTAAGTATGAACAACTAGTAGCAGAACAGAGATCATCTAAATTCTTTGCTCAGGTTTTCATATGCAGGGCAAGTTTTAAAGACATAGTAACCTCTGCCATTTTTATTTCTTGAGCTACAATATCACATTTCTAAGTTGAATTTCACATGTTAAGTGAGAAAGCATAGTCATACTATACCTAATTGATATCTAGAATTATACACAATGGTTTAATAATTCAGGTCTAAGATACATAAATACGGAGATGCTACATGTATTACATATCTGTAATAGTTTTTAAAATAAACCAGAAGTTGAGCCATCTGGATTTTAATATGCTTTAAGGAAAATGTAACATTTAATTCAACTATGCATCCTCTGGCGACTAAACAGCTCATGAGTATGTTTCAACAGTTAAAACGTAGCAAACACTAGAAACATTTACAAGCCATCACATAGCAGCTGCAGAGAGACCTCTATGATAAGTAACATCACACCTACCGTAGTGTCATTGCTGGTAACATAAACCAGGACATCGGAGGAGTTCCTGCCATTGATGTATCGGTAGCAGTTCCAAACACAGCTAATCAAGTAACCCTGAAAGTGAGTAGTGATTAGAGCTTTAATTTTCAAACTCTGGACAATTTTAAATATCACCAGACAAAGCCATATTACAAAACTTTCATTTACATAAATTATAAACATACATATTGACTCTACTAAACCAAAAAGCCTTTAAAATTACAAATATTGGGTACAGTAACTTTCTTGCACAGGGTGCTACTCTAGGCTTATTCCATCATACCACGTTTTGGGGAGCGGAGGGGCTGAGAGCAGAACCAGAAATTTCTAAGAAAAGCAAATTGGAAGGGGCAATCACCAAAAACATTTATTGCCCCCAAATTCACAAAACAACCCATTTCTCACCACATTTTAACTGTGTCTTTGGGGTTTTTATTCTACATGATTATCTATGATTTTATTATCAAATCAATATTTTTCAAAAGGTCTACAACATACAAAAATTTGCTAAACAATCAATAAAATTCACTGAAACATTCCCATTTTCAAAATGAAATAGCCAAAGATACTTAAAATTCATGTCCAGAATAAAGACATGCTAAAAATAAAGCCTGAGTTCATGAGAAATGTTTGAACTATGAACTCTTGACACTTTCATTTCAATCGTCTGCAATTAAATTAGAACTAAATAATTTCAAAATCCCTGTAGCTTTAAAATTCTTTTATTAAAAATATGTAAAGAGGTGGAGAAATTGGAACCCTCATACATTGCTGGTGGGACTGTAAAATGGTATGGCTGCTTCGGGAAACAGTCTGGCAGTTCCTCAAAAGGTTAAACAGTTACCATATGATGCTGCAATTCCATTCCTAGGTATACACCCAAGAAAAAATGAAAACGTATGTCCACACAAAAGCTTGTACACAAATGTGCCCAGCAGCATTAGCTATAGTAGCCAAAAAGTGGAAGAATCCAAATGGCCATCAACTGATGAATGGATAGACAAAATGTGTTATATTCATACAATGGAATATTCAGAAATAAAAAGGAAATTGTTATATGCTACATATAATATGGATGAACCTTAAAAATATTCTAAGCCAGTCACAAAGCACCACATATTGTATGCTTCTATTTATATGAAATATGCAGAACAGGCAAATCTATAGACAAGAAGTACTGTATTTCCTCATGTATAAGACACACCCTTTTTTGAAAAATTTGGGCTCTAAAAACTGGGTGTGTCTTATACAGTGGTTGTATGAGCACAAAAACAAGCCCGAAAAAAGTAGGAAATGCAAGTAAAAAAAACAAAACAAAACAAAAAAACCACACCAAAACTACAACCACTGTATAAGACGCACCCACTTTTTAGAAAACGGGTGCATCTTATACATGGGGAAATACGGTAGATTAGTGGTTGCCAGGAGTATGGGGTGGGATAAGGGTGAACAGCATATGACAAAAATATTCTAAAATTACATTGTGTAACAACAAAGCTGTAATTACCCAACTCTGTGAATATACTACAAACCACTGAATTGTATAGCTTCAATGGGTGGATTTTATGATATTGAATTATATCTCAATAAAGTTGGTCTATAAAAAGAAGATATTAAGGACAAAGGGGTACTTGTCAACATCTTACAGGAGAGTGAGGTAAAATATTCTGTCATATTGTACTCAGACTGCTGTCTTAAGCTGCATTCATAGTTGGCGATTACTTCTTACATTTAAATTTTCTGTGATGATATTAAGATGAAAATGAATAATGCCATTGTTCAAAATGTTTCCTATACCACAATAATCTGAAACCATTAACAATGAGAAAGAGAGGGACAGAAAGGGCATATTTCTTGAACAATGTACTCAAATAGATTCAATTTACTCAAATCTTCAGTTTACCCAACAATGCTACTGATAAATGCTCAGACTTTATGAGCATTTCAATACAAAAAGGAATGTATGAACATATTACTTATGTGCTATAAAAGATTAGTCAACCATTATTTTAGCAGTGAACAGATTATTTAAAACAAGAAGTCTTGGGCCAGCGGAGTGGCGCGTTGGTTAGGAACTGGCTTGGGATGCCAGAAGGCCCCGGTTCGGATCCCACATATGAGGGCCAGTGACACTGCCCT